CCAACACCCCCCATGTCCCCGCTGTCCCCGGTGTCCCCTCACCGGTGACGTTGAGCAGTTTGGGCAGGAAGCGGGTCCAGAAGGCGCAGGCCTGGGCCCGCAGGCCCTGGGCCACGGCGAGCGGCCGCGCGTTGAGCCGGGCGTAGCTCTGCGCCGCCGCCGTGTACGACGGCCAGCGCCGCTCCCGCTCCGACGGCTCGTTCGGGTCCCTGCGCGGGGACACGGCACGGGCGGCTCGGCGCCGGCTCGGCTCGGCTCGAGCCAACCCAGGGCAGCCGAGAGAGATCAGCACACCTCAACGCAACCAAACGCAACTCAACTCAACTCAACGCAACTCAACGCAACTCAACCCAACCCAACTCAACGCAACTCAAAGCAACTCAACGCAACCAAACGCAACTCAACTCAACACAGCCCAACTCAACACAACGCAACTCAACGCAACCAAACACAACTCAACCCAACACAACTCAACTCAACACAACTCAACGCAACCCAACTCAACTCAACACAACGCAACCCAACTCAACTCAACACAACACAACTCAACTCAACACAACGCAACACAACTCAACACAACACAACTCAACCCAACCCAATTCAACTCAATCCAACCCAACACAACTGAATCCAACACAACCCAACTCAACTCAACACAGCTCAACTCAACACAACTGAATCCAACTCAACACAACCCGACTCAACACAACTCAATTCAACTCAAGCCAACTCAACTCAATCCAACACAACTCAATCCAACACAACCCAACTCAATCCAACACAACCAAACTCAACACAACCCAACTCAACTCAACCCAACTCAACCCAAACTAAGTCATCACAACTCAACCCAACCAAGGGCAGCCAAGACAACTCATCTCAACCCATCCCAACCCATCTCATCATAACTCATCCCAGCACATCCCAACTCAACCCAAATCATGCAAACCCAACTCACCTCAACCCAACCAAGGTCCTCCAAGTCATCCCAACTCATCACAACACAACCCAATTCATCACAACCCATCCCAATTCATCACAACCCATCCCAATTCAATCCCATCCCACCTCAACCAAACTCATCCAAAACAACTCATTCCCAACTCAACTCAGTCCATCCCAATCCAACCCACCCAACCCAAACCATCCCAATTTGACCAAACTCAACCCAACTCGTACAACCCAGCTCATCTCAACCCAATCCAACCCAACTCACCCAATTCAGCTCAACCCAACCCAACCCAACCCAACTCATCCAACCCAACCCAACGCAATTCACCCCGACCCATCCCATCCATCCATCATCCATCCCTCCATGGATCCATCCATGACCTCGTCCTCCCCGTCCCTCCCGGTTGCCCGTACCCGGTGCGGGCGAAGTTGCCCCAGTATCTCATGATGCGCCGGCTCAGCTCCTCCTCCTCGGCCGTGTAGTTGAGCCCGGGGTTCAGGGGCTGCCCGAACACGAACTCGATCTCGTAGCCGTGGGGGACGCCCATCCAGGGCGGCCACAGCAGGTTGGAGGCGCGGTGGTCGAACAGGTACGCGAAGACGGTGCCGCCGCGCTCGGCCCAGCGCTGGGCGAAGTGCATCAGCGGGCAAACCACGTTGTGGTCGCCCACGATGTCGTCCAGCGCCTCGCGGTTCTTCACGGGGTTGTCCTGGTCCAGCCAGTCCGTGTACTGCAGCACCACGGCCTCGGCCGCCAGCTCGTTGGCCTGCGGCACGCCCAGCCTCACCCCGCCCAGGAACTCCTCGCGGCTGATCAGGCTCTCGTTGTCCTTGCCGAAGCCCGGCACGCCGTACACCAGGAAATAGGTGCCTTCGTCCTGCACGGCTCCCAGCAGCACCTCGGCCTCGGCGCGGCCGGGGCCGCCCAGCAGCGCCTCGGGGGTGTCGGCCAAGAACTCCCCGTCCACCACGGGCACGAAGGCGAAGCGGAACACGCCCTGCTGCGGCAGCACGGCCGCCTCGTGCTCCACCAGCTGCGGCGGCGCCGCGGCGCGAAGGCAACCCAGCAGCTCGGTCTCGTTGGTCACGGCCCCCGCGGCTCCCACGCCGCCGCAGCCCACCAGCCGGCCCAGCCTGGCCGCTCGCCGCCGGCCTTCGGTGGCCCCCACGGTAGCCCAGGGCCCGTTGGGAGAGCCGCTCTGCAGCACGGCGCGGCGGAACAGGCCGCGGCTGCCGCCCGACAGAAGGTGCAGCCCCACCGAGGCGGCGCCGGCGCTCTCCCCGAACAGCGTCACCGCGCCGGGGTCGCCGCCGAACGCCGCGATGTTGGCCTGGACCCAACGCAACGCCAAGCGCTGGTCCAACAAGCCCACGTTGCCGGGAGCTTCGGGGTGACCCGGTAAGGCCAAGAAACCCAAAGCGCCCACGCGGTAATTCATGGACACCACCAAAACCCGCTCGGCCGCCGCCAAGAAGCGCCCGTCGTACACGTCCAGCGAGGCGGCGCCGCTGTAGAAACCCCCCCCGTAAATCCACACCAGAACCGGCGCCGGCGCCGCCGGCCGAGGCTCCGGCACCCAAATGTTGAGGTACAAACAATCCTCGCTCATCTCCCGGTTGGGGTTCCACATCTCGGAGCCGCCGAATCCCGGGAACATGGTGTCGACCGGCTGGAAGCAGGCGTGGGGGTGGGAGAAGGCGTCCAGGACCCCCCCCCAGGGCCGGGCGGGGCGAGGGGGGGAGAAGCGCAGGGGTCCCAGGGGGGGCTCGGCGTAAGGGATCCCCAAAAACGCCGCCACCCGCGAGGAGGGGCCGGCGGCCACGTGGAAGCCGCGGACGGCGCCCGAGGAGGTGGC